AATGCATAACTGAACACATTTTTCAATACCATAATCACTTCATTAGAATTTTAATTTTGTGTCACCGAGCCTACAGACATAACTACATAACGCCCTGGACACACCGGACGTGTTAGTGCTGTCCGGTGTGTCCAGGGCGAAGCCTAATGGCACGGGTGTGTGGATGTCTGTTCATCTTTTCGTTCATGTCCTTACTAATGCACACTTTTTAACTTGCTTGTTGGATTTATTAAAAACGAACAAATGAAAACTAAATGTCTTTGAATATCTTTATTATCATTTAAAAACGAAAATTAAAATGTCCGGTAAAAATAGATTATGACCGGATTTTTATGACCCTGTCAGTCAAAATGACCGGCGACAAAAAAGTCTAGCACAAAGTCTGCTCCAGTTCTAACAGTGGCGAGACAGTTTGCAGTTGTTTAGCAGCAGAATTTTTTGTGTGAAAGGTCACCCGAGTTAAACCCAGTGTGAAAGTTTTGCACTAATTCACTTCATCTCAGCAAGTAATCCACCGATGACAGCAATTCCATTTAAATGAATTTAATTCAGCTTGAAATTCAGCCGTTAAAAATGCTGGCATGACTTGATGCTTTAAACAAACACAACTGTGACACCCAGACTACTAAGACAATAAGTATGTCAGAGCTGACATTGTTTTATTCTTTTTGACTGACTCACCTGGCATCTACTCATCTGTCATCACGCACTAAACCCAAACCATCTGGTACACCAAAACTGAAATAAACAATACCATTTCATAGAGTCATCCTCAGAGAGCACCAAAGATCCTCCAGTTTCACCATGAGTGTTGCTACAGCACCCACCATAGAGGCTGAAGCTGTGTCATGCTATGCCCAGCCAAGGCACACTGACCACAGCGTGCTGTGCCCAGTCAGCGTAGTGGCCAGACTTAGCCATCACCCTGCTGTGATTGACCACGGAAGAACTGAGGCTCCACCAAGCCTTTCGGCCTCCCGCCGTCACTACAAGGAGCCGGCAGACTTTTACTGCAGGCTTTTTAATGCATGAAAGTGTTAATTAAAACCATAGTATCTACAGTATACATTTAGGATGCATACAGTGTATGCACGTTATCAGCATTTTCATTTTAGTAGTCTATTTGTATCCCCCATGTTTATGTGCAGTACATGGGTTAAGTGCCCAAGTGTATTCAGTATGCATAGTACGCAGCTGCTGTGCGTGATCGAGTATCTACTCTGTATTCCTGAAGCTGTGTTGTGGAATTGTTGCTCCTTTAATTATTCTCTCATATTAAAGGATCAAAGGTCTCTGCCACAGTCAACCCCCTGCATTTCGTTATATCTTCACACACATACTCCCACACACACACGTGCATATGTGCTTCTGTGTGGACGTGTTAACACGGACACACATTGGGAGGACATTGGTTATGTTCAATTTTGGAATTTTGAATGTGATTTCCAGCAATTATAAAAAGGATAAATGGTAGCCTTTTCAAGTCCTCCATTGAAGAGCTCAGCGTGCTACTTTTGATTCGGCTCCTCGGTGCGAGTTTTCTTTATCAACCAAGAGCTTGCACCAGTCCTCAGAAGGGTGTCACCGATCACCCTCTGGCAGGGGGGATGAAGCATGTTTTATTCTACCAAAGTACTTTCATGTCTGTGTGTGTGCTTGACATGTGTGAACACGTGTGTGTGTGTGTGTGTGTGTGTGTATTCACCCACGCGTGCTGAAATACACGTGTGTGTGTGTGTGTGTGTGTGTGTGTGTGTATGTGTGCTTTTCTGTGTCAGTGCCCTCTCCCCTCTTGCTCCAGCACTGGACCAAACCAATCCTCTCCTCAGCTTCCAGAGGATTCTCCCGCTGATAGGCTGCTCCAGCACTCTGTTCTTTTTTACACCCACAGCCCCTTCGGTGCTCCAATGATGCCCCTGTGCTGTCACCGCTCTGCTGCATGGTGGCTGGCAGGAGGGGAGGATGCTGAGTGTAATTAGGGCGTACCCAAGCCTACCAGGGCCAGAGAGAGGAAGAGGACAGAAAGAGGGCTGACAGTTTGACATCAGTAGAGCACACCGTCTCTGTAATTGCTGGCATGCATATGGCGCAAGCCCAGGTTGGAGGCTTGTGAGAGGAAGGGGGGGGCAGTAATGTAGGATAGAGAGGAGGCAGAAATAGGTGGGAGAGCAGGAGGGAGGTGCAACCTGTGAAGCAGTAGATGTGGGGATGAGTGCATGTCATCCGAAGTGGGGAAAGACGAGGGAGGAGATCGAGGAGAGGAAGGGGGTGAGGAGGAATGCAGATTGG